GAGACATAGTAGAACTGTAGGTAGTATCGCTCCTTCATGGAATGGAGATGGGACCGGGCAGGGTCGATCGAGGAAGAGGAATCAAGAGATGATTGATGCCGACATGGTCGGTGTTGTAGCTTGTTGATCATTGTTTTGATAGTTTTCAATTCTTGTTTTACTACATCATGGCATAACATTAGTCTTGGAGTATGACTTTGCTAACTTATCGATGGAACAAGCCGCTAATGTAGTTGTTGTTACCGCTGGTGAGAGGGACAACATAAGTGTAGTTAGCTTTATATAAATAACTAGTCCAAATGCCCGTGCGTTGCAACGGGCGAAAGATATCGTAAAAGTTGCTCCGTGCGATAGTACGCGCCATTACTTATATACAGTTCTGATAAACATCACTCATAAGGTTATATTGTTACCGCTTATCGAAGTATGAAGTCCAGCGAAAAATATCGTAAAAGTTGCTCCGTGCGATAGTACGTGCCATTACTTATATACAGTTTTGATAAACATCACTAATAAGGTTATATTGTTACCGCTTATCCAAGTATGAAGTGTGGATATAAAGAAGTCACCCTAACATCCTTCATCTGCTAGAAGAGTAGTGGTGCATAGAATAGTCTAGTAATCGGTTTTATATTTTATTGTTCGAAAAAACATATATTTTTTTATTTTAAAGTTATTAAACAAATATATTTTTAATCTATTTATTAGAATTGAACCATGTTTTGATAACAATATTTAAATTTTTTATGCTAAATTTTCTTTTTTTAAGTTGAGACATTTTTTGGGGAATTTTGAGCATTTTTTAAAAAGTGTGAACATATTTAAAAGTATGATTTTTTAAAGCAAGAAGAATCTGAAGTACTCCTTATCTTAAAAAAAACACACGCACAATCGGTGTGTGCAATCATAAAAAGATTGTTGGTGTCCGTACCATGTAGTATAAAGTTGAGACAGTCGTAGGATATCCTTTAATGGCGCCTCCTTCAGATTAGCACTATTGTCCGGTGAAAGAAAAATGGTGTAATTGGTTTTAGCATGATAAACAGAAGGTGAACTTGTTGTATACTATTTGAGAGTTTAATAATTAATCTAGAAGTTTTTCTTTGAATTTTTAATAGATTTGCGAACATCTTTTTGGATGAAAGAGTAGTGGTGCATTGAAGTGGAAATGTCTATTTCCATTTTTTGAATATTCAAAGCAAACATGTTTTTACTATGGCAATTATTTGTTAGAAAATGTTGGTTATTTGATTTGCAAAATTATATTCCGTTCCTTTTTGCACTATTTGAACTTGGTCATATAAGAAATGCAAGCTTTTTTTACTAAATTTTTCTGAATCGAAACTCGACGACTCTCTCTCTCTCGAGAGGTTCTCTCAGTAGGCAGTGCTGCTTTTCTGCACCTCGTCTCTCTCTCAGTAGGCTGAGCACAAGTGCTACTTCTTTTGATGCAGGCATGACCTTCCTCACAGGCTCACTTCAACATTTTCGATTGGCTTTTTGTTGGCTCGTTGATTCTTGCGAGTCTGAACGTATATAAGTTGTTAGGATTTGGTGTAAAGGGGCGGGGTGGGACTAATTAGAATCTGAAAGAATTTAGCAGAGACGTAAGGGAGGGGAGGTCAGATCGTCATCAGGGGGTGAGTTCGTACTTTTTAGCGGCCCATGACTAAAATTCTGGCCCTCTAGATACATCTGTATCTAGACAAATCCAAGACAAGTAATTCGGAACGGAGGAAGTATACCCCAAGCATAGAACGGGACGAACGGACCAGCGACGATGTACGAAAACGGACCAAATTGCGGAAGCAAGAAGCAATCAACGCTTTATTATTATTAGGTAAAAGATATGGACTCAATTCGAAAGTAAGTCTGAATTCAAAGGAAAGAGACAATGCATGAGAGGCACTTTCACTGCTGTAAGATGGGAAAATGTGACATCCAGTGGAGTGTGAGTGAGCCGCCCAAATTCTGCGACTTCATGCCAACAGCTAATTAAGCCAAACTAGTTAAGCAACCTCGTGCGCGCCATTATTTTATTGTATGTATGTCTAGTCCTGAAAGCGATAGGCATGTCAACAAGCATGGAATGGTCAATCTTAATACGATTGATGCCAAAAGTTATAAACAAATCCAGGTTAACTTGAGTGAGTGACAGAGATAGGTTGGTCAAGCAGGAAAATGGACGATCAACTCAAAGAAAACAATTTTGTTTTTACGGCACACACCTTTTTCCTTTCCTTTTATTTTTGTTAGAG